TTAAGCCCAGTAAACTTCCCATATAGATTGACAATTCTAAAGCACACCAGGTCTCCTCGGGTTTAGGACTGTCCTAGTCAAAGTCTGGACTTGAATCTTTTTTAGAGGTCACAAACAGGGAAATGAATGCCAAAACCTTTAAAAGAGGAAGAATTGAAAATATTCCACAGAAAGCTGAGCCCAGTCTCCCCCACAGTGATATAAAAGAACTTCATGCCAGTCCCCACAAACACACCTTGGGTTTAAACAGCAAATGCTCTTTACCAAGGATGAAGCATTATAGATGGTTTATTTTCTCAACAAAATGACTTAATTCTTTGGCATTAGAGCTCATTTAATGAAGTATTGCAAGAAAACTCAAAAAGTGAATATGTAGAAGGATAAATACTTTTTCGCAGCTCTCTATATCCAACCATTTTCTCCTTTTATTTAGACTAAAAAATTAAAAGCAAGAAACATTTGAAATGCAGTCATTTGTTTGATTAGGAATGGAATTCTATAGAGCTACATAAAATATTAAAGTTTAAAATATGATCAATTGGTTTTAATCAAAACCTGAAGGATAAGGAAGGAAGTGAAAGTAGAAGTCTTTCATAGTTTGGTTCTGGGGGTTAAAACTGTCCTGATGGAGGTATAACGATGAAGAAGCAGGTTTTCAGCAGCTGGTTCTACACTTTGGTACTTCTCAGGTATACGGTGAGCTCAGAGCGGTGAATCACCTTCCTTTCCTCTAAGGATTGGGTCTTCTGAGCTGCTGACCAGCGTTTCCACCACTCCCTCAGCTCTGTGGGCCCCGTGGGCCGCCGCTCCTTTATCTGATTTGGAGGAACTAGAGCGTGAGGAGTGAGGTGGTCCTCTTTGGGCAGGAACTTCCTGTTGACATTTCCATCCACGCTGGAATCACATCCTTCCAGATTTTCTTCCTTTTTCAAGCTGGCTGCCATCTTGACTGCATCTTTTTCATGGGCTGCCTCTGGGTCCTCCTGAGGAATATTCAGATTTGCAAAGAAATCAAACCCCTGCATCCTGCGCTTGTATTCCTCTAACGTAGCTTTGCAATCCACAGCCTTGGCTTTCAGCTGGAGGAACTGATGCTGCAGCTCTTTCTCATAACTCTCCTCGGCTTTCAGTTCGTTCTCCCAAAATCTGATGTGCTCCATCTCTTCTTCAGCCAATCTCTCCTGGGCTTCCTCTTCGACTCTTTTGGCTTTCTGCTTTTGCTCGAGGTCAAAGATCTGTGTGTCTGTGTTTGCTATTTGGACCTGTAGGTCCTGCAAGCAGAGCAGCTGGCATATGATGGAGTCTCTGAGTCGATTCTTTTCATCTTCGGTTACTGCGGCGCAGATTGAGCTGCTCTGGTCAGATTTGAGCTCTCGACCTTTCTTTGAGCACTTGTTTTTCTCCTTTGTGGGACTTCCGATGCAGCAGGATGTTTGATGGTCCAAGTCAGACCTCAGACTTTTCTGACTTGTGTCTGCACCTCTGCAGCTTTGATCCTGGTGTTCTTTTGTAACAAAGAGGGACAAATCTAAAGAGGCACGGCCCCGTTTATCCGTCCTCTTCTTGCTTTGCTTGTCACATGCCGTACTGTAGACCTTTCCTTTACCAAGACTTTCCAGCCATTCCCAAGCCTCTTCCACCAGAGACAGAGACTTTCTTTTAGGCGTCTTCAGGTTGTCTTTTTTCTCCTCAGCCTCTTCTCTCAAACAGGAAAGTGGCGGCAAGCTTTGACGGTGCAAACTTAGGGAGCCGCTGCTTCTACGCATTTTTGGTCCTACGTCTTTTCTTCTCATCGGCGGGCAGGGCTGGTATCTGCCGACTTTTACTCTGGCCATTTCCTCTGCGGTGGAGGGCCCGTTGTGCTGCAGACTGAGCTGCACCTCCTTGGCCTGCTCGCTGTACCTCTCCAAAGTCTCCAATAGGCGTTCATCAGGGGTCATGCACCGCTCAAAGTCTTTGAATTTCTCTCGCAAGGTGTAGCGCCCTGACTGCCCTGCAGAAGGAGATTGAGAGTACGGCTTTACCTAATATGTCTGAGCATGAATTGGATCTGGACTTAGAGGAATTCTTACCTAGAGATTGAGCCAACGCTAGGACCACTTCTTGGCACGTTGTTTCCTCTGTAACTCCACACACAACCCGTTGGATGCCGTTGACAGACACCTTCACCTCCATTTTGCTCAGTTCTTGAGCTGTAAACGAAGTGGTCTCTAACTAAACGGAGTTCTTGTTTCTGTCCAGGAGGAAGCAGCGGAGACAACTTAATGACCCCTAATTATCCGACAGTAATCAGTCAGCCTATCAAGCAAGACTGCAGCCGGACTGTGGCTGTAACATTCTCTGCCAATGCTGATGATTCTGTATAATAAAAAAATTACACAGACCTACCCGACCGTCCTTTCTGTAGAAATCATCCTCTGACCTTTTCTGTCTTGATGTAGATGTTCTGATGGAGAGGAACAGCAGGGCAATTACAGCTCATTAAAATTCCTGAAGGCAGAAACCTCAGTGGACATTTTAAGATCCCACCCATCTCACATAATTAGCATCATGGGAAAAAAAAGAACAAAAAAAAAACATCAGACCAACACCAAAGGATGCAGACACACTGGAAAAAATCAAAAACTTGATAAGTAATTTCTTTTCTTAAAATAAGTGCATTTGTTCATGGATTAAGGAGGTAAAAGAAACATTTTGCCATTTGAACAAAATAATTTACACTTAAAATAAGAAAGTACAATTGCATTGTCTTATTTCAAGTGCATTTTATCTAATTATCTTATTTAAAAAAAATACTAATACTAAAAATACTAATTCCATTGGCAAACTATCTAATTTACCTACCGGTACTCAAATGAAGGGTAAATACACTTAATTTAAGAAATGTTTACTTATTTCTAGATATTTTTTCCTGTGCAACAGTAAAATGGCAAAAAATTGAAATCTAAGTAACAATTTTTCTTAAAATAAGTGCATTTTTTCTTGAATTGTGAGACACTTTGCCAATGGAACAAGATAATTTACAGTTAATATAAGACAAAACAGATGCATTGTCTTATTTCAATTGCATATTATCTAATTATCTTATTTTAAGAGTAAAAATACTAATTCCATTTGCAAATCATCTTGTTTACCTGCTCAAATTAAGGGTAAATACACTTAATTGAAGATATTTCTACTTATTTCAAGATGGTTTTTGCAGTGTACCTCTGTTGTCTTACTGGAACTTTGAAGCTCCTGACAAAACATTTGTTTTTTATCTTTAACTCAGATAACGATTCTTCAGAATTTAAAAGTGGTTGAATTTGATGGTAAACCTTGTAGAACATGTAAGCTTCCTTCTTCTTGCTGTGCCTCAGTCCAGGGGCGGAGCTAATGAGGGCCCCCAGGTGCCTTCTGCACAATAGTTGGGGCTAAAAAAAAGGTTGCAATCCACCCATCTAGAACTTAACAGCAAACATAAATCAGAGAGAAGGATTAACCTCTAAATAGGGCAAAAGTTAAAGAAATCGATGTCAAAAAAGTGAATGTTAATATACCATGAAATAAATAAAAGCAAGATAAAATAAAGTGC